GTCCATTCCTGTGTTTTAAACCCTTCCCTCCAGAGCTTGCTGCAAACATCAACTTCCTACTTGGCACTTCTGGTCCAGATGTGCGAAAGAAAGAGAGAGAGAGAGAGAGAGAGAGAGAGAGAGAATGAAAAAGATTGGAATAAATCCAAGTGTAATATTCTGATACACATGTAAGCTATGCCAAAATTATATATGTTTAACTTCATATCTCTGCCCTTTTTCAAACCTTCCTAAAACAATGACCATGGGGTCTTTCATTATTTCCTTTATCAGAAACCAGGGTGAGATGGGGATATAAGTCTAGGATGAAATAGAATGATCATTATTAGCTGTCCTTGAGCAACCCTTTGTCTCATGCTGATCCAGGCAACATGGAATCAAACACGCCCTAAGAACCATGTGAACCCGTTTAATGTCATAGCAGCATGCAAGCCTCCACTGATAGAGAGGTGGTGCTGTGCTGACCGGCACTGAACCCACACCTCCTGCATGGAAGGCAAGGTTCCTATCAGTGATCCACCAGTGAGCCATCGAAACAGAGGAAGGCAAGCCTCTTATCAGTGATCCACCAGTGAGCCATCAAAACAGAGGTTAAATGACCCCAAGTATAGAGTTCAAGGGGATTCAAGCATTAGGTTTCTCTGTAAAGGATCAGCATGCAGTAATGTCCTAGAAAGAGCTTAGATGATGTTCCATAAACCAGGATTTCAATTCAGGTTTATTATATTTTATACAAGATTAGGAGAATATTTAGTTTCCTATGTTCCTTATTTCTAATTCAGAAATTATAATACCTTCCCTGTATTCCTAAATAAAAGTACAATTGTCATGTGCCTAAACTTTAGGGACCTGCCAACCAAGTATTCAATAAGTCCCATCTGTTAAACACTGTATACCTTAAACTATTATAATATACTTTAGATTGTTAGTATTACTAAGATGATTTGGGTTCATATTTTAAATCTAGTGGTAAATATGCAATTATGCTATAGGAAACACATGGGTCATATGAAGCAGATTATTCTATGCCACAGTTATTATATAAATGTCTAATTAATTCAAACCCTCAACTCCCAGCAATGTGTGCGATACTTAGAAGGTATGAAGAAAGCTCTCATTGCATTAAATAATCAAAGAGCCTGGGTTACTACTAAACACAGTGATGAATAGGTCTCAGCCACATGAGCCTTACCCAAGTATTCATCACGTGTTATTCACACTTACTTTAAAGGCTGGAGGGAAGATAAAATTAACACAATATGTGACTTGTGTCCCATTGGAATTTATAATCTAATGGTGGAGATGGCCAATTATACCATCTAAAAGAACAGAAACCTACAAAGGGATCGCACACAAAAAGTCAGCACCATGCGCCTCATTCCTTGGGTGATTTATGCCATTCAAATGCCACTCTCCACATCAAATTCTTTATGTCCTAACTGTAAACACTGTGTGCAGATGAGAGGGTGGATTAATATCCTAGTTTCTCTCTACAACTTCCACGATGGCGGCTCAAAGGCTCTGAAATAGGCCTGTGATGAAATGTCTTCCTCATGTACCGAATTCTTAATCTTGGCAGCAATAAATTAAAAAGCCCATCGGTACTTCTTTAATTAACAGCGATGTTGTGATGCTTAGAAATACAGCGTCGTCTCTTTTAATCTGTTGGCCTTCACGTAAAGACTCCTGCTTTTCCCAAGGGGTCAAAATTAATTAATGTCCTTACAATTTACTTAGCAGGCCATTGTCTCAGAAATGTCAAAACAAGTTCACTGAAGCATATTAGTAAAACAGGGATGACATAATCAGGCAGCTTTGAAGACAGAAATCTGTGAAAAATATACTGTCTCATGCAGTGATTAACATGGAGGATAAGAAACATTCTGTCAGTAAGTTTATATTTTGTGAGCTATGGACATCTTTACTTGTAGAAAACATTGCATAAATAACCAGATGAAAAACTTTCCATGTTTTCTTTAATGAAATTACACAAGTTATAAAAGTTCAAAAGGGGAAATTAATAGTCCTTAATTATTCCATTAAAAGGTAACAATTACGCTTATTTCTCTTTTTTGAACAATTGATGGAATCATTCCCATAGCTAGTGGTGACCCCTATATTGAGACTATAATATCTTTGTGCCATTAGTAATATACCAACAGAACTGCTCTAGTGGTTTTCCAGTATTGTCTTAGGCTAAGCAATACTTGCTTTAAATGTTAGCACATTAACATGTCTGGATATTTGATGTCTAGACTTAGATAGTTGTGGTAAAAATTGGCTAATTTCCCATAAGTTCTCAAGGGAGGAAGTATGCATTTATTCTAAAAGTTTAAAAAAGGATATACTTAAAGGTGTATTCACTGTGCTGTTTGTTATAAATGATACTGTTAGAAAATAAATCTTTTCAGCACTGGATACTCTCATGAATTAAAATAAAAATACAAAGTAGAATATACTACTGTGGCTAAGACTATTATGTTAAAATATTCATCATGGATACATATTTTCACACTATATTCTATATCAAGGAGAAGCCTATTTTTTATTAGAAAGTATTTACATAAATATAGGATAGCAGGATGCACAAAACAAAAAGCTTATTGATTGATATATTGCAATATTGAGACTATGGGCAATTATTTTACATGCTTCTTTATAATTTCAAATTTTTAGAAAGAGGACAATTGTAAAGAATAATTTTAAAATTGAGCAAAAGTGAATGTTATCATCATAGTGAGAAGCAGTAGCTCAAACATTTTTAAGTGAAAAAGCTAAAAAACTCTCCACAAAGCACAAGTGTGCTGCCAATGATTTTTCTTTTGTGTGTGGTATTTTGGGGTTTTTTCCCCCCCCATTTATTCATTTATTTAATATTCTGTATCTAGCTTTTGATCATTTTATTGAGAGATCTTACAGATATTATAACAGTCCATAATTCAATTAGATCAAGCATAATTGTACAATCGCTACCAAGGAAGCAGATGGACTTTGGCCTCTACTTAAATCTTACCTCAGTAGAAGAATGGTTTGTTTGAATAATGTGGCACTGTATGATACTGACCTTCTGTACACACTCACTGAAGACAAATGGGTGTATAAGCAAATGTGGAGACGAAAACTGATGGTGCCTGGCTATTTAAAGATATAGTATCTGGGGTCTTAAAGGCTTGAAGTTAAACAAGTAGCCATCTAGCAGGGAAGCAACAAAGCCCACAAGGAAAACTCAGACCAGCCATTGTGATCATGAGGTATTGATGGGAATAGGCATCAAAAAGTTCAAAAACAGTCTTTTTGTTATTTTATTTTAATTCACGTTTCCCAGATGAGTTGTAAAGTTAAAGATCATTTTATATTCTGATGGTACAGTAGTTAAAGCACTGGGCAGCTCAAATTGAGAAGATGGTCCACGGGAGAATGAGGTAGCAGTCACCTTCTGTAACTTGACGATCTTTAAAACCTTATGGGACAGTGCAACGCTGTCCTTTGGGGTTGAAATGAATTGGAAGTCACTTGATAGCAATGAGGTTTTTTGCTTTTTTTCTCCCCCCTTTACTTTGAACTTCTACATTTCTGAATTGATTATGTAAATCTATGTAGATTGATACGTTGACCATTTCTAGTAATTTTATAATAGTTAGCTGACTATGTAAGGACCATCACTTATCGCCTATTACATTTTTATTGATTCTAATTATAAAAATTTTAGATCAAAATTATACTTTCACATAATCAAATAAGTAAATTTTTTCTTTTGTAGCTTCTGGGTTTTGGGAAGTTAGAGCCTACTTCCAAAGTGCAACTTTTACTTTCAGTTTTGTTGGGAAAGTTATGTTGTTTTTATTTGTTACATTTAAATATTTAATCTGTCTGGAATTTACTCGTGTGTATGATACAAAATTGGGGTTCTGGTGTCTAACCAAATATGCCAGTCCCATATCAAATAATACATCTTTTCCCTAATGAGTTTAATTATATAACTTTGTTATTAAATTCTGGATTCTATTAATTTCTGTATTCAACTTCCTGAACTCTACCCAATTCCACTAATTTCTGGGTAATGTTCTAGATCCTTGAGATGGTTTTCATAGAATATCAACATTTTACTCCTCAAGCATGATGGCTTCTTATTCCTAATATGTAGCATACAATTAGAGGACAACTTCAAAATAAGAATGAATTTCCATACTGTGATTGAACAAGATATCACATATCTGCCTAGAATATATAAGTAATACAATTAACATTCTATTTCTACTGGTCATAAAATACCTGCACCATCTTGTATACTTTTCCTCTGAAAAGTTCTTTTTAATTCTGTATAATCTTTTTGTTTGCCTGTGCTTTAATTGTTTTGAGAAATTCTTTAGCTTATCTTTTTCTCTAAGAAAAAATTAGAATGCTTTTGTTTGCTAATAACTAGTCAGGATTTCTGGGCAAAAGTAATAAGATTACAAGCGTGCTTCCTCTCTGACTCTATTAGCTGTCAAACCATCGATGATTTCGCTAATTGCAAGCATCAGCAGGAGGCAACATTTGTTAAGATTTAGCAAATCCTGGTTCACGTCCTAACCTTTTACATCTCTGTTCCTAGACTTCAGAGCAACCAGCATGGGAATACTGGCTGGCTGAACGGCCAGATGGCAGTAGGAATGTTCTTATTATTGGCAATTCTAAACCTTTGCCCCATACCTGCATTATCCTAAACGCTACCTGCCCAAACCCATAAAGGTTTCAAGAACCCCTTTATGTTAGGAAATACAATCTGCAAATTAAAAAAAAATATATCACACAGGGTTTCCTTATTGTGGCAATGTCCGTTCTGGACCTAGTCAATAATTGAGGAGTTGAACTAGAAAGGACAAACCCTCCTTCAATAAAATGTTTGCAACTCTCTACCCACACGGTCCTAAGGAATCCCTTGTGGCTTTCTCTCAAATGATGAGAACTGATTTCCAGTGCACTGGATTCATTGATCTGGCTATGGCTCCTCAGTTTACCTGGTGTATGATCAGAGTCTGGACTCAGTGCTTCAGCAGGAATTGGTGTGCCAATGGCCCAGTCCAAGTCATCCTTGGAGTCTTGAGTCAGATGACAAGCAGTGGTCCAGTGTTGTGAACTCTCAAAATTACAGCTTCCTGTTGTACTGGTATACTGGCCTAAGGCAAGAGAAAAGTTAACAGACTTTTTTTTGCTAAATATGCATATTCCACTAGATATGACAATATATTCATGATGCCTTAACATTGCTATCGGCATATTATAATTCTCTATAAATATATGTACACCCCAGTTGTTATTAAGTAAATTGTAGGTCCCCAACATATGTCTTTTAACTCTTAACTTCTGTAAGTTCAGATCAGGAGCCCTGGCAGTGCACTTGTTAAATGATAGGCCGCTGATTAAAAAGTAAGTGGATGGAACCTACCAGCATGTGCATGGAAGAAAAGACCTGACCATTAGTTTCTGTAAAAATGCTTACCTCAGGGACCCAATGGAGGGAGCAGCTCTACTCTGTCACATAGGGCCACTCTGAGTAAGAATGGGATGCCTGGCAAACAACAACCTACCTGTGGTGAGAATTCCATTCAGAGTTAGGCTTTGCTTTGTTATATGAATGAGGTCATCTCAGAAGAGGATGTTGAGTTCCAATCATTTTTACAATATGAAAGCGCAGATATGACACTGACGTATAAGGAAAGAGTGAAGATCAACACTACCTGAAGGTGACGGGGCAGGCTAGTCTACAAAGGACTCCAAGAAGTACAGGGCCTTGAGAAGCGGAAAAAGGATGTTCCTTACGTGAACAGAAAGAGAGCGAGCCATCGCCTAGAGCCAGTGCCCTGGACTGAGATGTCTAGTCTTCTAGATGGTGAGAAAATAAATTTAAGTTTGTTAAAGCAATCCACTTGCGGCATTTCTAACCCAGTGATATTGAGAACGTGCTATTTGTATTCGATAACACTATTACTTGGTGTGATTAGCTGCTTTCAAGGGAGTCAGACTCTTAGTGGGCTCATGGACGGTATGCTGTGTGGTCCTTTGCCACCATTTCCATGATCTGTCGTGGATGGGATCCTTGTGATCTGTAGGGTTTCCTTGACTGATTTTTGGAAGTAGATTGCCAAGTCTTTCTCCTAGTCTGTCTTAGTCTGGAAGTTCTCCAGAAACATCTTCAGTATCATAGCAATCTGGGCACCTCTATGGTTTCCCATAAAGTGAATTGGCTGCGAACTGAAACCTGGTATTCCTCTGAAAAGTGAGTGTGAAAAGGGTGAGCAGGTACCATCTACCTCCTCACACTTCACAAAGGATGAAGGAGAACCGAACTCACAATCAGCCCAATGACAATATCCTGTGAGGCAGAGGTCACACCTGCTTCCACTGCCTGTTCTTCCTTACCGATTCTGACATCCCACCCAGCTCCACCCAAACTCCAGACTAACTCCAGACTCCAGACTAAACGCACTGCCAGCAAGTCAATCCTGACTCATAACAACCCCATAGGGCAGAGGAGAACTGCTCCTGTGGGTTTCTGAGACTGGAGAGCCTCAGCTTTTACCTGCAAAGTGGCTGGTGGTTTTGACCAATTGACCTCGTGTTTAGCAGCCCACTGTGTAAACCACTATACTACTATGGTAGAAAGATGAAATCTGTGATATTTTAAACACTTGTCAGTTGTTTTAGCGTTTATAACATTCACAAAGCACTAATATTTTAATGGGAAATTATTTAGATCTCAGAGTATTCCATATAAAATCGGCATGTCGCTTCTCAAGCATGGTGGGGTTTTATTCCTAAAAACTAGAATCCTTTTTAATCAGGTACATTCCTTTTATCCATTTTACATAACATGGTTCAGTGGTTTCATATGATTAATTTTTTATTCCTTGTATGTCATTTTCATGTCAGTATTTAGAGTCTAAAAACCAAAACGAATTTTCACCTCCTCTGTGTTTGTGTCATTCACTATTTCTGATAGCCTAGCTAGTCCCTGAGTCAAAGCTCTCAGGTTTTCCCAGTTCCACCATTAATGGTCCTAATAGTTTAGGATTTTACTTATAGGTCTGTGATCTCCCATAGGCTATAGGAAATAGGGAAGGACACAAAAACAGAGGAGGCACAAATAGACAAGTGGGATATACAGATGATAAAACTCCTGCGTACATCGAAAGACTTCACCAAGAGAGTAATAAGAGAGTCCACGAACTGGGAAAACATCTTTAACAATGACACATCGGACAAAGGCTTTTTTAAAAAAATCTACAATACTCTGCTAACTTACAACAAGAAAACAAACAATTTCCCACTAAGGAGGTGGGCAAAGGACCTGAACAGAAATTCCTCAAGGGCAGAAATCTGAATGGTCAATAAACATATGAGAAAATGTTCCCAATTATTAGCCATAAGAGAAATGCAAATTAAAACAATGAGATACCACCTAACACCCTAAAAAATAGTCCAATTCAAAAAATCAGAAAGCAACAAGTGTTGGAGGGGCTGGGGTGAGATAGGAACTCTCATCCACTGCTGGTGGACCTGTAGGTATGTACAGCCATTATGGAAATCAATTTGGCAATTTCTAAAACAGACGGAAATTGAGCTACCATACAACCCAGCAATCCCCTTACTGAGCATATACCCATTAAGAGGCAAGAAGCAAACCACGGCCAGACATCGGTGCTCCAATGTTCATCACAGTGCAGTTCACAATTGCAAGGAGTTAAAAACAACTCAAGTTTCCATCAACAGATGAAAAGATAAAAAAACTGTGGTACATACATACAATGATTTTTAGCATCCCTAAAAAGCAGTGAGGAACGCATGAAACACATGATGCATGGGAAGAATTGCAGGAAATTATGCTAAGTGAAGTAAGCCAAGCACAAAAAGACAAGTACAACATGAGTCCACTGAGGTAAGCAAAAAAAAAAAATAAAAAGTAAAAAGGGATATATAGGAAAAGCTACTAAATACATACATGCCTGGGGTGAGGTCCAGGTACTATGGCAGGTGCCGAACCCAACCCAGGGATACATATGACAGCCAAATAATAAGGAGGAAGAGAGAGAGAGAGAGAAAGAGAGAGAGAGAGAGAAAGAGACAGGGGAAGAGGGCACTAACCCACCTAGTGGGGAGGGTGTTGTTTATATCTCTACAGGAGAGGGATAAAGGGACCAGAAGTCAACCCAGTGCTAAGCTATGAATACAACCTACAGGCATGAACCAGGAACCAATAGAGAGGTCAGCGGGGGCCAGCCCCCGATTCCAACTATGTGAGCCCCCATCCCCCACCCCAGAGGAATGCACTTCAGAGGACAGCACTGAAGCTGCAGCTCAGGGAGTGGGGCGTTTGTGAATAGGAGCAAATGAAGAGGGAAGGAGAGAATGGAACACACCCGGCCCACCAAGCCCTGAGGACAATATTCCAGCTCAGAGCAGCCAAAGCACAGAGAGGATCACAGGGCCGGCCCCATCATGAGACATGATGATGCGTCCCTCATGGACATCTAGTGCTAAGGAGGACAGCACATCTGACTCCTGCACCAGGGTGAACACTAAGGGTGTACAGCGGAGCCTCAAGGGGAGCAAAGCAAGGAAGTCCCCGAGGAATGCCAAAGGTGGACTTGGGGGTCCAGGGCGTGGCACCCCAGCAACTTCACTGGAAAACACTACAAAGAGCAATGGACAGACCTGGAATCGCTTGAGGACTTTTCAATTTTTGCTGTTGGTTTTTCTTTTTCTCTTTATTTTTTGTTTTGTTGTGTTAGCTGTTGTTGATTTATTTTTTTGTCTTCTTTTTTTGTTACGTTTTGCTCTGCTCTGTTTTTGCACGTATTATTGTCTATGCATGTCTACCTGGACAAGATAGGTGGGATGAACAATCCAGAGGAGAGTACGATGGGACTGACAGTTCGTGGGGGTACACGGGAGAGGGAGAGATAGAGGAAAAGGAGGGTGCTGCCAACAAACCCAGGGACAGGGAAAAATAAGTGATCTAAAATTGATGGTGAGGAGGGCATAGAATGCTTGGTGGGGTGGGGGCTAGATGAAGGGCAATGTAGCCAAGAGGAATTCCCAAAACCTGAATGAAGGCCAAAAATGATAGTGGGACAGGAGGAAAGTAAAAGGAAATAGAGGAAAGAACTGGAATGCATAAGACAGTTATAGAGGTCTAAATACAGGTATGTATATATGTAAATACATTTATATACAATGACAGGGGAATAGAGCTATGTGTATATACTTATTTATAAAGTATTTTGGTAGCAGATGGACATTGGGCTCCACTCAAGTACTCCCTCAACACAAGAACAATTTGTTCTACTAACATGGCACTCTGGATGGTCACCTTCCCTGACACAATTGCTGAAGAAAAAAGGGGTGCATAAGCAAATGTGGTGAAGAAAGCTGATGATGC